GAACTTAGAGAAATTTTCCTGGGGCCGAGAAAGGGCAATTCCTCTAAATTCTTTTTGAAAAGAACTTAGAGAATTTTTTGGAATTTTAGAGAAAATTTCACAGGGCTCAGATCGGGAAATCCTCTAAGTTCTTTTTGAAAAGAACTTAGAGAATTTTCCTGTTGCCGAGAAAGGACAATTCTTCTAAGTTCTTTCTGGAAAACCCTAAACCCTAAACCCTAAACCCCAACCTATTTTTTTCGCCTGCGGCGGGCATTTTATTTCTATGTTTATATAGATTTTCTAGTGTTTGTGACACGCATACCCTAAACCCTAAACTCCGTGTGGCGAGTGCGGTGGTGAGTGCGGTTGACAATTTTTTTTCCGCCTACGGCGGGTGGTCTGCTACATGACAGAGACATTTTTGACAGTGGCAGGATTGGCGTGGGCTTGGAGGCGTACCAGTGAGCAATCCACAGTGCCCTCCGCTGTCTTGTCAAGAATTGTTGCTCACACAAATCATTTCCAGCCTGCTGCCAATATTTTTTTGTTCACTTCACATGCACTGTCTGACGCTGAGACACTGTGACTTTTGATCACCTCACATTTGCATACATAGCACATATAGTGACCTTGGTCAGAAAATAGCAAACACCAAAAACAAGATCAATCAACTGCACACCACACTCACCACAGCTTTAATGTCTACCACACTCACTCACAACATGTTTAGAGTGAGTTTACGGTTTTGAATGCGAGTTGCAAACCATCAGGTCTCCAAAGCCTGGCAAGCGGGGAGTGCCGCGCATCCAGTTTGACTTCAGCAAAGTGCGGAAGAGCGCAGTAGAAGGGAAACGAACCGAGACCCAGTCAGTTCCTTGGCCTTGTAATAGTGAGCGCGCCAGTGGCCAACCGGCCAACCCCATTTCCAGGTCCATTGTTTAATCATTCGCCTAAGTCAATCTATGGGCTTGCGAAATGCAGTGGCTCAAGATTTGTACTGTCACCATCACTTTAGGAACAGTGCAGTTGTGAAGAACAATGAACGCATCTTGATTCAAGAGCCAGTGCTCAAATTAAACAGACCATCCCTTTGGTCATGACTGGTTTTCTTTCATTTGGTTCTCCTCTTCTCATAGCCGCCATGCCAAGCAGTGAGCAAACGCAGAACACTGTCCAGCTCGTCAGAGTTAGTTTGATGAGCTTGAGTGTCTTCATCTCGAACCTTGGGGATCTGGAAGCACAAGGGCAACTCAATCGGCCTGTGGCGCAGCAGTTTCGGATGCTGATGAGTTCCATCAGACTAGCTGTGGCAGGCACTCAGTCAGTTGGAAGTAGATCTTCCACAGAGATGGCGACAGAGATGTCACGGCTTGAGGGGCAGCTGGACATACTTGAGAGGATCAATGATGCTGCAGCAAATGCAGCCCCGGTTGAGAGTCCTCAGGCCATCAATCCAAGGCAAGGAGAAGAATCCTCACGCCTCAGGCCATCAACACCAGACAGAGACCATGGGGAAGGAGAAGCAGATGCATCTGATGCAGAGAGCAATGATACAAGGGTTGCGCGATACCTCAACAGCACTATGGAGGAAGTGTCAGATCCTGAGATGTGGATGGGTTTACATCGCTACTCGCCTGAGCCAGATTCAAACCAACACAATGTACGGACCGTACGGACTCTTCAGGTTCCAGCAGACCGCTTGATTCCAGACATTGTGTTTCCAGCACCAGCAGAAGCAGAACGCCCACAATCTCGAAACAGATCAAGATCACCTCGCGCTCCAATGCCGACTGCCGATGACTGATTCTGCTGAGTGAAAAATGGTGTTGAGATCAGTACTCCTTCTGTGTTTGCTTGTGTAACCCTTTCTCCATTTGAGCAGTCAGAAGGAATGGGTTTGCTTGGTACAGTTTGATTCCTGCAACAGTCATGTGCCTGAGCACTGATTGAATACATGATAAATAGGGCTAAAGGCCAGGAAGGCACTCTTGTTATTCTGGTTTTATCAAATGAATCACTGGTCCAATTACGGTTTGACCCTTGTTCACTCTTCTCCCTCTCACTGTCACCACGATCAGTCCTGAAAAATGCAACATTCCCAAGTAGAATCCTGTCACTGTCACTGTCACAGTTCACAGTGAATTCACACAGTGCTGGAGGAAGATGATTTGTCACGATACTAAACATTGTTTGGGGGTAGCAGTTTCAGGATATTTTAACATGTCACTGCCAATTTCCTTAAAACATGTAATGTGGCATGTAATGTGCACTTGCTGCTACTGGGAGGGAACCTGATCACGAAAAGGACAAGGACCTCAGATTCGTTTGCTTGTGGCGCAAAGGTAGTCCCTAACACAGGTTTCAATGTGAACGCATGAACTGCCCGGTGACTGTGACCAGTGACAGTGACAGCTAAGATAATAAATAACATTGTTCATGTGTGTGACAGTGATTCATGACAGTGACTGGTCAGATAATGACATTGTTCATCTGTGTGGCAGTGGTCCAGGACTGTGACTGGTGACATAGACAGCTAAGATAATGACAAGGTTCATTTGTGTGACAGTGGTCCATGACTGTGACTGGTGACAGAGACAGCTAAGATAGTGACATTGTTCATATGTGTGACAGTGGTCCATGACTGTGACTGGTGACAGAGACAGCGAAACCAATAAACATTTACTTGAATTTCTCACGAGAAATTGTTTTTTAGGTTGACTTAACATATTTGTTGAAGGTCTTAGGTTTCTTCCCGAGATCCCTGATGTTCTTAAGAAAGGCCGCTACATGTTTCGTTGGGATGCTGGAAACCTTCAATGTGCACCAATCCACCTGTCAACAGGGCATCACTGTGTTACTGTGATTTTGTCTTTGTGTTTTTGCTTCGCCAAGGTTAGAAGGCCAATGTGCCAGGAGGAGTACATTGAGCACTACACCACAAAGGTGCCATTGTACCAGAGGTTGAGCAAGGCGGCAGCTGAAAAGAAGTGGAACTTGGACTTTAGTGCTGGCACCCTTGAGAAGGAACAAAGACGAAGCAATGATGAGGACGGAAATGCAGGACCCTTGGCAACTTGGCGCTAATATATTTGTATGATTTTGTTTCTTGCTGTTTGTGTTGCTTCTTCTTGTCCTGAATAGTTTTGTGAATGCGTGTCTCAGCTGAACTAGAAAGGTCTGGGTGATGTGGGTACCCACTGGCGAGAAGAAGCTGACTGGCACCTTTGAAGAGAAGACTGTCAGTCACGAGACAACTTTGGAAGAGAAGGCCCCTACGGAGCGCAAGATCCAGGAGCACAAGGAGAAAGTGGGAACCTTGTGGGATGAAGATGAGGACATGTTCTGTGAAGCCAAAGCAGCTGCAGGCAAACCGCAATCAAAGAATGGAAAGAGAACAAAGGGCGGCGGCGGCGGCGGCAATGGCAAGAACTTATCCAAAGGCAGGCCAATTGATGAGCGCCAACCTCCACCGGAAGGTCGACAAGGCTCTGTGGTTCTAGAAGCTGCCAAGTTCAAGGCCTCCACGGTCAAGGACTGGCAATGACAAAAGCCAGAAATCATGATTAGCAACATTCTTGACACGTCTCACTCTGGACTCTGGACTCTGACTCTTTTCTTTTTGAAGGAGCTTACAGCCACAAAGGCCATGGTAACCAAAGCCAAAGACACAGTGGCGACTTTCATGACAAAGTTGGATCAGAAGTGCTGTGACGAGTGGAGCCCTGATGAAAAGCTTCTCCGGAACCGCATGAGTTTGCTCACAAAAGCAACAATCAAGCTTCTTGTGCTTATTTTCAGAACAAGGTCATTGTGTGATGTAGGGGAGTCCAATGCGTCTCAACTCCACACTGAAAGCTTAAGGTCTTTCACCTTTAGCAACTATTGACCTCCACATGTCCCCCAACCTATAGGCTTCCAGTTGACAGGCTTCCAAGTGCAATGCCAACTTTGTCAGCGTGGAAAGAAGCCAATGATGATTTCGAGCAGCTCATGCTTGCAGATCCCTTTGTGAATGAGAAATACCAGGAAGTTCTTTCTGCAGATCAGATCACTGCCATTCAGACTCTCCCGTACATTGAGTACTCCAGAACTGCTCTGAACTCAGTCCAGCTGATCACCTATGTCCAAATTTGTGGATCATTGTTCATCAATGTTTGTGTTTGTGGGGGCACTGTCTGTGTGCAAGTGCAGCCTTTGCCAAGCTGTAATGTTTAAAACTTACACTATTGAATTGCTTCCAGCCGTGCTGACTGTGCAGGTCGAGTGGCCGATATGTGGTAGCATTGAGCAGCTAGAAGAGCAGGTGGACAAGTTTCGAGGAGCTGTGGCCATGCTCAAGCACCTTGCAAGTGCAACCCTTGCACTTTGCAGCCAGGTCGAGTCAAACAAAAAAGCACTTGAGAAACATCTCAAGGAGGAAAAGGCGAACAGAGAAAAAGAAGAGCAACGATTGAAGGGACTCCAGAAGAAGTGTGGAACTTACTGAACTTACTTGGCTATTAGGCGGCTTGCTAGTTTTCAAGGCTGCCGGTGCAAGATCAACAAATACATAAACATAAACATTAAGGGTTAGAGATATCTGTTTAAGTACTGTTTTGAAGCCGGCCCCCAGGCAAACATCTCAAGACAGTGGGCCAGTGGCCTAATGGTTAAGGCGTTAGATCCATGAGGTGGGACCAGGAACCTCTTCCCATCTTTATGGATTCAAAGATTGGGTGGTTCGATTCCCCCGTGGTCCATTCTCATTTTGGCTCCTACTTCAACATTGTCAATATTCTC